TTTACGAATGTTTTTGTTTGATTTATAATATAATAGAGAAAAGTCTCAGTTATCGAAGTTATCAGGTAGTTTATTATTCAATTTATTTATTATTATAATTTGCTATTGTCATAATTTAAATATAACCATTGGATTTTTAGTGACAAATGGCGGGATAAATGAAATTTTTCCGATATCGATGATAATTTAAAAAACATATTGATTCATAATAAAAACTCATTATTATGGATTCCTTATAATGAATTTGCAATTCTTATGGAGATAGGAAAAGGCGGATTTGCAACAGTATACGGAGCTAAGTGGGTAGACCGAAATCAAGGAGTAAAATACAGTGTTGCGCTTAAATTATTACATGGATCAAACCAATACCAGGAAGAGTTTATCAACGAGGTAATATTTTTTAATCTATTACAATATATGTTTTTATTCTTTAATTTACATTCTTTAAATATTAAGTTAAAAGGATATTATGACATTTGTTATAAAAACCCTTCATTCATCAAATGCATTGGAATATCAAGAGATGATTCTTCGAAAGATTATATACTTGTTTTGAAAGGTGCGGTGAGGGGTTCCTTGCGTAATAATCTCCACGAAATAGCGAAAATGACGTGGAGAAAGAAATTAAATTTATTACTTTGCATTGCATCAGACCTTCGAATAATTCATTCTCATGGACTTATTCATCGAGATTTGCATAGTGGTAATATTTTGCAAGATAATCTATATAGTGCATATATCGCTGATTTAGGACTTTCAATAAAATACAACCCGGCATCTAAGATGGGATCAGAGGAAGTTTATGGAGTTTTACCATACATTGCACCTGAAATTTTTGATAAAAAGCCGTATACTACAGCATTTGATATTTACTCATTTAGCATAATTATGTGGGAAATTTTATATGGAAAATTGGTATATTGGAATCGAGAATTTAATGACCAACTTCAAATAGAAATATGCTGTGAAAACTTAAGACCAAATATAGTTAAGGATACGCCAAAATGTTATATAAATTTAATGAAAGAGTGTTGGGATAAATGTCCAGAATATCGTCCAACTGCGGACGAAATTTATGATATCTTTATGAAATGGGAAGATGATGAAACAATATTATTAGAATTATCGGAATCTGAAAAAGTATTAAAAGATATTTTGAATACACATAACCCAACTGTCATTGAATCGAATTATAGAAGTAAATCTTATTACTCTACAAATCATGTTCTCAAGATTATCAACAAATAATAACACTTGAATCCGTATAATCAAGATTATTAATTCTGGCGATTTGAACCTATAAGTTGCATCCAGTAAAATATTGAGCTATACCGAAGAATTTTATAAGTTTGTATTTGGTAACTAAAATTTGTTTATAGTCGAAAACTAGCCAAAGAATTTTTATTATTCAGTGAAAAGTGAAGGTCCCTCGATTTCTGTGCACTTTGATAAGCAAATTAAAAAGTCGTCGATTTATTCTTTTCCACATTCCTATGCTGTAGCGTTGAAATAGATTCCAAAATAATACACTTTCAATGGAATTCTAAATAAACTTTATTTAATATATATTTATATATTTAAAATTAAATTAAAATTCATTAATTATAGCAATTAATTTATTATAAATTGTTTAAAAAACGACTAATCCAAAAAAATATGCGTTTATCACAAACGTGAAAATTTACTATCAAATTTCTTGATAATCTTTTAATTGATTTAACTGAATGTATTTTTTTGTTTTTATTGATTGATTAGCATAAATGCTAATCGAAAACTTCAAATGGGACATTATCAAAATGTGCAATAGGGCGTTTATGCTTTGAAAAAAAAAACGATATATAGGACTATGAATTCTAATTTTTTTAATGTCAGTATTAGTTAGTTGTATAGCAAAATTAATTGAGTTTACTAAGCTTATTAACTGAAAACGATAAAATAATATTGATATTCGCACTATGGCGCGGTTGCCCCCAAATTCACGTTACTTCTTGCTGAGGTCAATTTTCTGAATTTACACACATAACGTAATTAGGTTGCAAACACGGAACGTACCAAATATACTTAGTACGTATGTACGTACTTATCACAGAAAGTATATCGATAGAGAATATACTGTTTTTTTTTTATAGATACGCACGTACGTTAAATCTGAGGTAAAAATCGACATGAGGCGTTACCTGGATGATGACAACATTCTTTATTAATGCCTTAGCCACCGTTGTAACTCGAATCAATAATTTTAATATATATCAGTAAAACAAAAGTTTGAGAAATTTGGTGATATTTAAATATTTTTATGAATGGATGAAAAGTTGCAATTTAAGTTGACCATAAAATATTTATATAACTTGAGAGTTTAAACGAGGTATTTCTTTCCACTATAGAATCCTCATTGTCACACTAATGTTAAAATTTACAACACTGGAATAGAAGGTTATAAGCGAATTTTATATTTTCAAATGAGAAATCTAAATTTCAGTATCATTTATCAGTCGAGGCAATCTCTGAAGTTGAAACCAATTTACAAATTTACAAATATGATATACTACTATGCTTAAAAGTATTTTACTATGTTAATTAAATAGGCTTTTTATCTTATAGTAAAAAATATTAAATACTATTTGAAAAGTATTTATTTAATAGTAAAAATAATTAAATAGTATTTTGAAAAGTATATATATAGAACTAATAATTAAAAAGTTTTTTAAGTTGATTTTTGTTTCAATAACGAATAATCACTAAATTAAAAAAAAAAAAATGCAAATCAAATCAAAATTTTATTTTTTCATCGTTTTTATGCTACCATCGTTAATCTTAGCACAAGATAGTGGATCAGGCTTTATAACCAGCTGTTCTAAACCTGGCGTTGTTGCGTTAACATTTGATGATGGACCGGGACCATATACTAACAATTTACTTGATTATTTATCATCCAAACAAATAAAAGCAACATTTTTTGTAGTAGGAATTTCGATAAAAGAATATCCAGAAGTATTAAAAAAAATATTTAAAGAAGGTCACCAAATAGGAATACATACAAATACACATCCACATTTGAATGCTTTGACGTACGAACAACAAAGAGAAGAAATTTTTAAAGTTAATGAAACAATCTATCAAACAATTGAAGTAATTCCGAATTACATGAGGTATTTATAGTTAATATATATATATATGTATTTTTATTTTTTTTTTTTTTTTCAAGCCTCATGTCGCAGTTACAAGTTTATAAAGTAAATATTATTTTTAAATAAATAGACCACCATTTGGAGAATGTAATGATCGATGTGGTAAATTAATGAAGTCTTTGGGCTTAACAGTAACTCAATGGAATATGGATTCTGGTGATTGGCGTTATGAAAAAGAATCATACGAAGATGGAAGATTTAACTCTTTAAATAATATGCTTGCTTGTTTATCACCGTCAAATTCAAAAATCAATAGTTTCATTACGTTACAACATGATCATTGTAAATATAGTGTTGATGTTGTGCCAAAAGTTGTCGAAGCATTTGAAAAAAAAGGATACAAATTCGAAACTGTTGCTGAATGTTTAAGGAATAATGTTACACCTTATAAAAACAAGAATGAGAGAAAAAGCAATACGATGTATAATATGAAGAATAATACGGAAAGTAATACGAAAAGTATTGCGAAAAGTAATACAAAGGATAATACCGGTGGTAAAAATTATACAATCTCTGGATCATCCGCTTCTAAACATTCTGGATCCAGTTGTATCATTAATAGCAAGAAATTTATCAGAATTTTGACATTTGTTGTCATTGTTATTGAAATCATGTTGGTTTATTAAGTGTTATTAAGCACATGTCGACATGTCGACGATAGTGTAAAGATTAAATCTTGTAATTTTGTATTCACTTATTAAATCACTTGTTAAGTCATTTTTTAAGAAGAATAAAGCTTGTCTGATTCGGTTTAATGTTGGATTTATTATGTATTAATTTGGGTTTTTGAAAAGTGTATGAATTATATTGATCGATATCGGGAGATGTTATGTATTTAATTTTTAAATAAAATATAAATTCATTAATTTTGTGTTCATTTGACAACATGGCCGAGTGGTTAAGGCGTCAGACTTGAAATCTGATTCCCATAGGGAGCGCAGGTTCAAACCCTGCTGTTGTCGAAATATTAATCATTTTTTGCCTCCATTAATATTGTAATATTAGAAATTAAGTTGCGGAGTTTGTGGACCGCAACAAAGTTTTTTTTTATATTTGCACAACTAAAAATATGATGTACACGTGGATTCATTTGATAAATTTACTTATAAATTTTAATCAAATATTTACATGCTACAACCAAATTCTGTTTTTTTTTTTTTTTTATAATCCGCTGCTAATTTTAAATTTTGAATTTCAATGCACAGCTCTTTTAGCAGATCATTGCTTAATTAAGGTGGAATCCGTACCTTAAAATAGCTAATGTATTGGTCACAGGGTAATTATGTAACAACATGAAATAATTTATATAAGGGTCATTTAAAATTAAGACGTTATAAAATTTTTTTCCACATCATTTTGCATAACAAATCGAAATGGGTAACTGCCTTGAAACTTTAAGTGATTGTATTAAAGGTAGACCAAAAGAAAGAGGGTATACACTTGGTGCCACTGATGTAAGTGAAACTCCAACGAGAAGTGATGAACGTGAAGGTTCGTCTAGGTCAGCAGCGGCTGAAGCCGCTGAAAAAAGAGCTCAACAAGTAAGTGCTATATTTTTGTTCAATGATTCATAGTAGTAAAACTTATTATTGAAAAGAAATGATATGACTGAAATTATTGTATTTATTTATGTAATTATTTATTTATTTGTTTTTTTAAGGCACAGAACCGAGGGGTTCAAAAGGGTGGCGGAAAGCTAAGCAAAAGGTTGGATGAACGACAAAAATCACCTATTGGATCAGATGAACACCCTCCTGATTCGAACCTTGAGGTACTCTTTCAAGTTGTTTGACATTCATTAATTAAATTATTCTTTTCTGATTATAATTTTTTTTTTTTTAGTGGAGACAAGATTAATTTCTTAATAATTTTATATGAACAAATAAACGTTTTATGGAATGTTGATGAAATTCGAATAATTTTTTTTTCGGTTTATACTATATAATAATAATGATTGAACATTTAACCAACTTATATTTTACAATATAGATAACAATAGTTGTATGAATAATTAAAATTTTCAATGTTTATATGGAATTTATTATAAAGATTTCTTTTAGTTATTGTATTTATTAAAATATAAAGATTCTTTTAAAGATTCTTTTAGTTACTGTATCAAAATATAAAATAAATTACTACTCAAATAAGTTAAACATTTTATATGTAAATATACATCGTTAAATCTTTTGTAAAACAATTTATTATTAAGTATCTATATATCAAATCTGTCATTAAAATATTAACATTTCCATACTAAGTACCATATTAAGAGGGTATCGGACAAGATTTTCGAGATATGCCTAGACTCATTTAATTAAATATAAAAAAAATATACATTGATTTGAATAGGCTCTTTTTCGATCGAATATTATCAAGTTTTTTTAAACCAATAAATAGATCAGAAGTAATGTAAGTACTTGTGACGTACGTACCATGTAATTAAAACTGTCATATTACCTACTTTGTACACCAACTTTGCAAATTAACCATACATAATAATCGAAAAGAACCATCTTATATGTATCTAATATGTATATTATATGTACCTTATATGTATCGCGTTCCTTTTAAATTTCCAACTTTGAATCTAAATTATGTTCATTATATCATCCGCGTACATACGTCCAAAAAAAAGTGTTACAATATTTTAAAATTGTGTATTCTAGAATATAAGTTTGGTCACTGAGTTACGTCACATTATTACGCATGTCGATACGTCTTTATTATAATAACAGATAATACGTAACCAAGTTACGTAAGTATTTCTGCATCATATCAGATATCAATATTCTAGAAAACACAAGTTTTATCACGATAAACATTATCATTATATATTATGTAACTCTTTTTGTTAACTCCTTTAAGTATGTACAGTCGGCTCCAAAAGTTTATCACGGTTACACAGAAACAACTATAAATGTAACTCTCGATATAGGAAACCTTCGATATAAAAAGCTCTTGGCATAAGAAAGTTTTTACCAATTTCAGTCAAAAATTTATGTTTTAATATAAGAATGTTTGATATAAGTAGGATTTTAGCTGGACTCGGTGACTTTTTCATATCAAGAGTCAGTTGTATTTATTAATATTTTGCATATTATTTTTGTGTAACCGTGATAAACTTTTGGAGCCGACTGTACACTCCATTGTCAATTCTTATACGTAAGAGTGTCGCCAAATTAATCCGGTAACTGCTCATAGTAAATTACTAAGTTCAGTTTCAAGTTTTAACATTAATTTGGTAGAACTCATATGAGAGCTTGTCTAAGTCTGGAATTCTTATTATGTCATAAAAGTTCGTCAAGTGAAAACTAGGAAGTCTAAATATATATTAACTACGTATCATTCCATATTTAGATTAGAGAAATATACTACGTAATAGTTTTTATGACATAAGAATTCCGGACTGAGACTCTATAAACATAATATAAAAATAGCCATTTTCTTGAATGAGAATATTCTTAGATGTTGATTATCTAATATAAAAATTTCGCTCAGCAATATCCCATTTTACCAAAATCTGTTTCGCTGACAAATTACTTTATTGGAAGTTGTTATTTAAAATTTTTTGATTTACAAGTATGTTTTTACAGGGTCCAAACTTATTTTACAGACGATTAATTTACAGACAAGTTCATTTCATGGATAGTATATCACTGACAGCTTATTCACTCTAATTTTAGGCATAATTCTAATGGCAACGACTTGTGAAATGAGTTGTTAGTGAGATATACTGTCTACGAAATGAATTTGCCTGTAAATTAAGCTTGTTGATGAAATGACTTAAGTAATTGTCGATGAGTTTATCGCAACCGGTTTTTACATGTATATTTTTAAGAGACACTATTCATTTTTTTTATTTGTTTTAGTGATTTTTTTCTGATGTCTTTTAAAGGCCTGGTTGCTCAATGTTTTATTTTGATACAGCTAGTTTTACCGATAAACCATTTTAATAAAAGATAATCAATTATAATACATAATGGAATTTTCTTTATATTGATAACATAAAAGAATATTAATCATAAAATCTCTAGTATAAGGCACAAACTTATACTATCAGTTTTCATATCACTGACTAACCTTTAGTGATCCTCCGACTCGGATTTTAAATTTTTTTTTTAATAAAAAGTTTTATTGACACACGACCTGAATACCAGTAAAAAAAAACTTCATATATTAAAATTTTTTTTAATAATATGCGAACGAATTCAGTATTTTTACTGGGACGAAAAGTTATTTATCACTTTGCAAAATTGAAGATATTTTTATACAGTCTAAAATAACATAGCTACGCGATGCAGTCGTGCTTAAATCAGGAACGTAGTATATATAATATAAAATAAATTATAGCATGCCATTTAGGTCAGCCAATTCGAAGCACTTAATACAACAGTAGACAATTAACTTTGGAATGAAATATAATTTACATTTGAAACTGGGGAGTTGATAAATTTATATGTAAGCGCTTGATCTTGTTAATATTCTTATAATAAAAGATAATCAATTTTTATACTGTCGCGGGTGAATTTAACATATATAAACTAATTAGGGAAATGGGGTAAGGTAACTCTTCAGAGTCGTGACTATGGATCTTGTAATAAATTTATTATAGCGATTCTTATCCGCACATAACAGTCGTAACTAGGAATGGACATTGCGCAGAATTTTTGAGAGACTGCGCAGTGTGATTTTTAAAATTCAGGCTAGCTAGCATAATTCTGCCCAGCTAGTATAATTCTGGTCGGCTTGCATAATGCTGCAGGCTGCGCAGTGGATTCAAAAAATTCTCGATTTGCCCATCCCTAGTCGTAACCAACCGCTCTTCCTTAGAAGTATGATTAAAAGATACTTTTATCATCTTTTCTTAATGATTTCGTTTAGAATTTCAACACACAGTCACATATTTCATAGACATTGGTTTCATGTGTGCGCATGATTCCTCAATCGTGCGAATTAATGCGCATTATAATGCCAGGCGGAATTAAGGAGTAGGAATGCATAATGCCGAAAATTTCCGAAAAGAAAAATTATTATGCGCATTGTACGTATATCGATATAACATGCGTATTCATGCGCATTCCTCTATTTCTAATCTTTCATTGGGAATGTTTTTATTCGGCAGAAATAGTAAATTCAGTCAACAAGCTTCATGTATCATAATCGAATATTCAAACCTCAATAACAATACAATATACTGCAAAAACATACAAGAACGTGGATATTTTTTATTAGTAATACATTAAAAATATCTTTGATTAGTAAAAATTTCTATTACAATTTTTTTGAAATACAAAATTTAAGACTACCTAAAACTATAGTTTACACAATTCTTATATTCAATTGGGTATTATAAAACTGATTAAATTTATTAATCGCACCTTTCGAAGACAAATCAATTTAAAAACTATTATATCAAGAAAAAATATATTTTTTTAATAGAAATGAACCAAACTGGTCTGGAAATCAATAATAAGACTTTGTAAGATACGGGTAAATTTCGGCGAGAAAATAGATTGGCATAAAAAAATTTTTTAGAAGACTTGCACATCACCCGAAATTAATAATACAAATTTCCGATAATAATAAACCTGACTATCTCAAAATCATATTTATTTTTTGGACTCTTTATAATACAAATTTCCGATCATAATAAATCTGATTATCTCAAAATCATATTTATTTTTTAGACTCTTTATACTACAAAGGCCCCACACTTTATACCGTTTTTAAATTGTATCCTTATTTAGCTAATCATTATAATTATCTGATTTAATTATTGGCTATGCTAAGAGGATTAATTGTTACGATTATATATAAATGGATTTCTTTTTTTGAAGTAAAATCATGTGTAGTCTAGTTCAGGTTACATACAGTATGAGTGCTGATATAAAATAAATTGCATTATCATTTATTTTATGCTTTCAATTACGCATTATACAATCAATATCTTACTGATTGGCATTTAGGCGATACTTATATGACTATAGATCAATGCAAAAAAAAAAAGATTATAATGAAATTAGAAACCGAAACTGTCAAGAACTTTAACGATTCAACTTTGTTTTTGTCATATGATATATGTAGAGGATTCTATATATTAAAATAAAAATAAAAATTTTGGATTCCCACTTTGTTGACCCTTCCGGGATATGAAGACCGATTATTATATGGGTGAGTACACAGCAAAACCATGCTTAGAGTATATATAATACATATATTCTAAGCATGGTTTTGCTGTGTACTCA